TCATGTGGGGAAAGTATGGTAAATCCATTGTGTTATGTGCTTATATGAGTGTATGTGATTGTGGAAAGTATGGTGAATCCACTGTGTTATGTGTATGTCATTGTATGTGGAACAGAAGACAAAATTGCATACATCATACTTAGACATTATATGGCATACATGGTTCATCATTAGTTGTCATATCCGTTGAAAACTCTTGTTTTGGCAATCACTCTCATGGCCACAAAAAAAAACTGATTTGTGATTACGATTACAATTTAAAAAAGTCTGGTAGATTTATTGTGTGAATGGGTGCAATATATCTCATCTGTTTAACATAATCATAAAAGCTGGTAAAACTATTTCAGTGCTCATTTAAAGTGCTAATTACTTAACTTACATTAAGAAACAGGCAGCGAAATTAATGCAAACAAATCATACTGCAATTTCGATAATAATGAATTTCACTTCAGCAGTGAGTTGTATTCTGACACAGTATTCTGATTGGTTAATGGCATTCTTGACCTGTCAGGTCAAGGTCATGATGGTAGATCAAAAAACAGCAGATTTCAACATTTGTACCAGAATCAGTTGAGTGTTCTAAATTTTATAGCAAGTGTTAATATTTCTTTAGTGTTCTTAACACCAGGCATCATCATGCAGTTCAATGGTTTCAATTTTTATTAATTAAATCCTAAATTAGACTCAAAGCAATTAGTCTAAGAAGAAAAATCTGAGATGGACATTTTGGAGAACAAAAAACGAAATTCTAGAAGTCAAATATGAAATTCTGTGATTTTTTTTTTTAGCTAAAATTTCTTGTCACATTTTAATTCAGCCAATTAAAAACAGGGATTATATCATTGACAAAAACTTTTTTCCAAAGACACAGCTGTAATGGCAGAACACCTAATTGTTAGCACCCAAATTTATTTATTGTATTAATCCATATTTGATGTATATTATGAGGTTATTATGAGGATATGCACAAAAGACAGTACAGCCATACTGTCGACTGACGCGCAGCAGAGGTCAATGCGATGATGTACTGAGTGCATACATGAGGTATCCTTGTAATAACCTTAGAACAGAAACGGCTAACTTCTTTGTGTGGAGTCTGGTCAAACCTTTGTTTTTTAATTAGAGAACGCTTACGTGTGTAATCATTCCATATTTGGAATTTGCATTTCCTTGTATGGTAGGATTAAAATACCGCAAAATTATGGCACGCTGTAACTATGGCGTTACGATGACAGATGTATATTATTTATTATTTATCCATTCCTTGCATTCCTAAGTACAAAACGGTCTAGTATGTAGCGCTCCAGAAAGAGCTCAGTTACATCATCATCTGTTTTATTGGTTGTTTTCAAGTAATTTATATCACTGTAATGTGGTATAATCGTTTTGCCAAACCCTGTTCACATCAAATTTCAAATGTTGTACTACTGATCATGTAACTGCACATGTGTGTGTGTGCAATGCATTATGGGAGAGAACAATTTCATATAATAAAAAGCAATTATCACACCGGAATACTTAGTTACAAATGTCAATTTTATGAAATGTTTAACAGTATTAAAATTTGAATTAATAATATATATTTTAACTGTAGAAACCATGCAAAATTTTTGTCTATTTACTGGGACCTTTTGGACTCATTGTATGATGGGTAGCAAGCGTTCAGACATTTCAAATAATCTAATTTGTGACTAATGCTATTTAGAAAAAAATCTGACATATGGATACAGGCTAAAACAGTTCTTGTGTCAGAATAATAAAAATTACAGCACGTTATTGACAGTGTGTAATGTATTTAATAAGCTCATTATGAAATATAATTATTATTTATATAGTAATAATATGTGGAAGTAATTATTTCTACATGCAGTGACTTGCAACAAACTGAAAGAAAGATGAATTTAAATGGTTATTTCCTGAATTATTTCTGCACCTATAAATGTACATGTTGTAACATGTTTTAATTTTTCTAATGTTCTACAACGTTTAAAAGACACTTATCAAAAATCCACAAATTTTCACTATAAGTATGAGGAACAGGAGAAAAAAAAATCAGTAAAAAATTGATTTACGGTACATTAAATCTTTATTAGAAGCTGCATCCCATTCTTTTTGAATAATTGAGACCAAAAATTCATCATTTCTAATAGAAACTGCATTCCTTCTGTTAGGATTGTACCATTTTAGTAGAACCTACAGTTTATTATACAGATTTTACAGTACTTTTTTTTATAATTATCATTAAACAATTTTTTTTAACTGATAAAAAGTTAGTGATAACCAGAAACCAAATATTTGTTCTGTGCGTAATGTAATTATTGTATTCTATTTTTAGGTGAGCCTGAGTTTAAGTATGTTGGTAATATGCATGGTAATGAAGTGGTGGGACGGGAGTTACTGCTTGTATTCATACCCTTTATATGTGAAGAATATCTGAATGGAAATGAAGCCATCGTGTGGTTGGTTGAAAATACCAGAATTCATATTATGCCTACAATGAACCCTGATGGATATGCCATTGGTAGAAAAGAGGTAACATTTTTATTAGTCCCCGTTCGGACACAGTCCGAAAACAGAGACTTATGTTTTGAGTAGCGGCCATTTTTGTACTGAAAATCATCAAAATTAAGCATTTCTCGGCTGTTTACAGATGGATTTTGTTCAAACTTGGTATATACATTGGACATTATATAGGACCTTGATGCACATCATTTTTTTTTTACAGATAAGATTCAAAATGGCTGACTGGTGTCCATTTTGTTTTAATGAATGTGGTTCTAGTGCCATATCTCTGACTTGCTTTGATTATGTTCAAATTTTAAATATTCATTATACATCATGTCATAGATATACAGATATATTGGTTTGACGATCCTATTAAAAATCGCCGAATGCTGGCCATTTTTGTGCTAAAAAATCATCAAATATCAAGCATTTCTGGCATTTATGGATGGATTTCGTTCAAACTTATTACATACATTAGACATCACGAGTTCCTGATGCATGTCATTTTATTTTTCAGATCTGATTCAAAATGGCTGACTGGCGACCATTTTGTTTTAATGAATGGGCTTCTAGAGCCATCTCTTACATGCTTTGACTGATTATGTTCAAATTATATATATTCATTATACATTGTTATAGATATATACATGTATGCAAAATGGCTGATTTTGTTTTAATTAAAGCTGTTCCAGAGCATTATCTCTCAATGTGGACAAGTACTCGTTTGATGATCAGATACAAATGTCAATCATTTTAATGTTAAACAATCATCATAATCATATTCCTGACATGGTTATATTCCAGCTAAATTACTATAAACAAAACTATATATCCAAAATTTGATAACTAACGGGAACTGTGCCATTCATGGCTTGTTCTTCCCGTTTTATTGTGATGGATTCCCAAAATGTTGGTATGAGAGTTCAGTAATTGTTCTCATTCTCTTTAAGTTTACTATACAATGAGAATTTTTCACCTGAGTTGTCATTGAAGTTAAAATAAAGTTTACCTGGGAGAGTTGGGAATAAAATAACCTCAGAAATTGCCAGGACCTGACTTGGTTCTCTACTCCTATAATGCTCTGGAGAGAACCTGATTGTTTTTGCTTTATTAAAAGTTTATTAAATTATGTCTTACATCAACCGTAATTTTCATAAGCGCATCCACAAAATGAGAAATATAATACTAATGTATTTTGTATATTTCACATAAACTCCAGAAAAAGGAACTACATGGCTTGTATTATTGAAATTAACTAGTTTTAATAATCATGTTTGTGATTGACTCCCGTGTGCGAAGCACAAAAAGGGAGTCTTTGCAGTTAGTGTGTCTGTATGTGTGTGTGTGTGTGTGTGTGTATGTGTGTCCGTCTGTTCCACTGATATCTCAAGAACCATACATCAGTTTTTGATGAAACTTGGTGCATAGATGCTCTGGGCCAATGCGCAGATTTGATTAGGTTTTGGTAAAAATCCATGCATATTAATTAACTAATTTGCATGATAATTAGCTGATTTTTGACTGTTTCATCACTGTTCCACTGATATCTAAAGAACCACTCATTGGATTTTGATGAAACTTGGCACACAGATGCTCCAAACTAATGGGTAAAAATCTGTGCAATATTAATTACCTAATTTGCATAATGATTAATCAATTTTCGGCTTTTCCATTGATATCTCAAGTACTAATCATCACATTTCAATAAAACTTGGTACATAGATGTCATAGGACACTGCACAGACCTGATAGTTTTTAGGGTAATATGAGTACATATTAATTACCTAATTAGCATAATTAATTAATTTTCAGCTTTTGATATTTCAAGTAGTAATCA